TTTTTTTACGCCCGGCTCGATATATGAGTAGCATAAACTTGCAACTGACTCGAAGATATCCAAGGGTTACGTACATTATTAGAAATATATTTGTGGAATTAGAGTCTCTGTTACTTCCCTAACAAAGATACAAATTGACATAAGTATATCGTTATCAGAAATATGTAGGGTGTGTAAAAAATACAAAAAAGTAGCATTATGTGATTTGAAAGATCAGCAAAATGTCAGGAAACATTGTTAAATAATGCGCCTTGTTAGAGCATTTTGACAGCGACAAAGCTGGCACGAGTGGATGATTATCAATCACTCAAAACCATACCTATGTAATCGATCCATTTTGAAGATGTTTTTTGCTGATAGCAAACGCGAGCTTGAGAATCATTGGCCCCTATAAAGACTAGATTCTGAAATTTTTCGCGGATTCAAAGGGTAAAAAATTTAATAGTGTTATCAAAGAGTGTGTACGAGAAGGAGAGATCTAGTATACTTCTTTACAAGATGAGAAGTGCAGAGGCAGTAGTACACCTTTGAACCTACTCTAAATCCAGGCAGCAATGTGGGGAAATGATTGACGAGCATAAGTGCCTCAGCTGCTTGTTGAGGACTGGCAAACTCGACTATTCCAACAGAAGATGAGGGCCCTGGTTTAAAGGGGATAATATTGCATGGATAAGGTGCCCCTACAGAGACGAACATCTGCAAAAAGGAGAATAAACATTTAAAGAGAATGAGTCACCACAGCAGTTTACCATGTAAATCATCTCCCTTGTTGTGTATGAAGGAGCATCCCACCAATAGAGCATCGATGTTGGTGCAGCGATACGTATCTTCGCCGAGCTCTCAGCCGCTTGATACCGACTGAATCTCTGCAGCGGACAATTAGTGTAGAGTTCGCACATTGGCATTCCATTTGGAAATCGCTCACTAAGTTTTGATCTGAATGTTTCCCATGAAAGGAACAGGGAGAAACATACGTGGTCATTCGAATGGAGTCATTCCTTCCATAATCAAATGTGAGCGTGCAGCCGAATACAGTTAAATTACAAAGCATGCTCATTGCTGTTTTCACCTTAAAAATTACAATGAAGCAAATGACGTTGGAGAAAGCGCAAGCGAATTTGTAACTCCGGAACATTTTAGAGTAGAACAATCCTTGATGAAAGATTGGTCATGCTAAACACTAGTGTAGATCAGAAAGATAGAACACTAGAAAAAGCGCCGCTAAGCGGCACTTTGGCTAGGGTGCCTCTGGAGGGAATTACTCATACACTCTTCCTAGACAAAATGCCGCAAAGTGGCACTTTGGTA